ACAACCAACAGTTTCACTACTTATCCAGAATCACTGTCAAACCATAAAACCCTATAAAATATTCCACTTGGATTGTTTTCACACTCACATTCACCGTGTAAAGGTTGTACAACCATCTTGTATTGAATTACATACTGATCTAGGTCTGATAGAGACTACTACATATAAAGTTTTCTCTGTCATAAAGTTACGCCACAACAATAAATTAAATTGTTGTCAGAGTTCTTGTGTAGTAAATAGAGGGGCAGGTCTTTCAAACCACCCGTAACAGTAAATATTATCTAGTGAAATATCATTATTGTTATTTCCCCCTCAAGGACTGCCAACCCATCCCAAAGGAGTTCTCACATCTGGTGTCCCAACAGTGGCCGACAACTTTCAGAAGATCAACAACGTATCATCAATATCATCAAGACTTACACTCAACCCTGGATTACGAGCACGAGGATTCGACTTTGGCGCGGACAGGCGAGGAGACCAACGACCAAACGGACTTAGGCGAGGAAACAATTACAGATAATAGGATTAGGAGGACTTGGCACAACGGTAGTTTAACACGGCAGGAGATCCATTCACTCGAGGAAGTCGTGGAGGAAATCGAACGGGAAAAACGGCAACAGGGAAATATGGCGAATCCGGAGGACTCCAGCATGGACCAATCGGCAATAATCCAGGAACAACAAGAGAAAATATCAAAAATGGAATCATCTATGGGCGGAAATGAAGGAAATGATGAAATCTTTCTTCAGTCAATCAGCATCTCCCCGAGGCCCACCCTTACCAGAAACCCCATCTCCAAGGTTACCACCTTAAGATTTGGGACATCAACCCCTTACACCGGCAGGATACCAGGATTGGAGACAACCATTGGCGCGGGAGAGCAAAGTATCCCTACTTCAGCTATTCAATCACCAGGGTTTGAGCAAACCAGGATCAGAACAGAAATCAAACTTCCGGACGAACAGAGAGGAGTAGTTTTGGACACGAAAAAGACTAACCTCTACTTTGAAGGAACGGAGGTGGAACTTTTCATTAAGAGAGTGGAGAAAGTTGCGGTGTTACAGAAGGCAGGCGGAAGAGACGTGGCTTTCCAATTACCCTTCATCATCAGTAATAGAAAAATCAGTGAAGCTATAGAGCAGATGGAAGGACACGAAACCGGAAATTGGGAGCTTTTAAAGAAAGAGTTGATCAGGAAATGGGGAAGAGCAACACCCCTGAGACGCTACAAGGAAGACTCTATACCAAGACTCATACGCAAGGCCCAGGAAAATGGTGGCATCAACACTAGACTAGAATACAAGAAATTCATCAGTGAATTCGAGGAGATTATGGACTACTTTACAAGGATGGAGTACCAAAATCTTAATCCGGACAGCGGAAACCCATTGTGGAAAGCACTCTCCACCGAATTAAAGAAGGAAGTTACTAAGGAATTAGCCCACGCCAAACAACTTCAGACAACGAAAGACGGGAGAAACATTGTCCCAGATCTGGAAAAGCTGAAGAAATACGTGGAAATTGCCTTGATAATCGTGGATTTTGATGGAGATGACGAGGAGTACAAACCTAAGGAGCAGGTCAAAAAGACGGTCAAGATTCAGGAACCAGCCACCAAGGAAGACTTAGAAGAAAAGCTTACAAAGTTAACTTCTGCCTTGGAATATCAGAATCGCCAAGCACCACCACACGTCAGCAGACCATCTTCGCCAGGACTCTCAGATAGCAGACCAAGATACGGCCCTTTGGAATGTTTTTACTGCAAGGAGAAACATGTGGTCACCCAGTGTGAATACCTCAATCAAGATATGCAGGATCGGAAGGTGTACAAGTCTCAGGGAACCTACTACTATCCAAACCGCCAGGCAATTGTCTTAGACAAGGATTCATCTGTTAGAGAATTAGTCAGAAAGTTTGCAGAAGAGCAAAGCATCTCTTCAAATCCTCCACCCAAGGAATCTGTGAAGGAATCAACGTCAGCGGTGGCAGAAATTGAAGAATGGGGATCTTGGGTTCCACCACAAGTAAACATGGAGGAAGGTGACCTACAAAACAACCTAGGTTTTGGACTCCGGAAATCTCAGCGACTACAGGAGAAGAATGCACCCTCCGGTAGCCAACCAGCTCCCAGCAACCCTATAGGAACAGAGGGTCAATCATCAAATATTCAGGACGAGGCGCCAAAAACAGCCGCAAGGAGAAAAAGTTTTCCAGGATCGTGGCTTGAAGACAACGACGACGAGGAAGAAGAACGGATTATTATACCTACTAAGGCTAAGACCCGGCCAGTTCCGCCGGCAAAAGAAAAGCAGACTAGGACGGAGACAGCAGATAAACAAGAGGAGATAATTGGAAAATTGGATAAATCATTGAAAGCCAAATTCTATCGCCAGTCGTACACTCTCACCTTAGAAGAAATTTTGAAGATCTCGCCAAATTTCTTGCAGAGTTTGCATGCGGTACAACCAGAAGAAGACTTGGTTGAAAGGGGTTTGAACAGTGTCAAATTCAACTGTGCAACCAACGCAAGTATTGATAATGAAGGACAAGATTTGGGGCTTACTTACGCATGTCCAGTAGGAATGGTGGATATGACCATAAATAAACGGAAAATTAGGACCTTGGTGGATACTGGTGCGGAAATGAACATCATCCCGGACAGTCTGGCAGACCAACTTGGACTTTTAACAACAGAAATATTCATGCGGTTGAAGGGAATTGGGGGACATTTTACACCAATCATTGGGATTGCTGAGAACATACCCGTCAGCGTATTTCCAGGACACATTCACCTGGCCAACTTCTTTATTGTTAAAGGATCAGTACATACAGTTATAGGGCGACCCTTCCTTGCCGATCATAATATCCGGCTAGAGTTATCAAGCCAGAAGGGGGAAGTGTTAAGTTTTTTAGACACCGATCAACGGAGGTTATGCATACCAATATGCTTACCAAATGCACCAGGATGGCACAAAGAACCACCAAAGCTTCGACAAGTCTTCACTTTTCAAGTCGATGAGTGGGAGGCCGAAAGTATCAGTTCAAAAGATTTTGACCTTCAGGAGAGGATGGAGGAGTACAATAAAACAATTCCACTTCTAAATGAAGATCCGTGGCAGGTTGTTTTATCAGAACCCGTGGACTGGGCAAGAGAACTCGGTGCAGCAGAAGTGGACGAGGTGGCCTGGGATGCATTCCACCAAATTAATTCAGCTGTATGGGGTACAAATGCCGATCCAGAAAGAGATGCGTGGAGTCTGTACAAGGAGGAAGTTCGATTACACCCGCGATTCAAGGAGGTATTCACCTGGCCGCCTACTCCGAAAAAGTCACTGCGGAAATTACCCTTATGGTTTCAGGAGTTACCAGGAGGCGGCTTGGGTTCATTGGATTTTTTCCAGATTCTCACGACAGAAGCGGCAGACAGTTTTTTACGACAGGGGACCTGGAACTCAAGATATGGACCAGTCAGCATTGCTATTAGGCAGCGGTTGTATGGAGGTGGAGCAAAGAAGTGGTACAAAAAGCAAATATCAAGAAGCTACAAAGCTAAAAGCATAAGGAATGCCAGCTTTGGAGGCTACCAGTTTTTCATTTGAAAAACTATCTCACTTACAAATATATTTTCACATTCCTCAGTGGTGTATTAATAGCAAGATTTTTTTGGGTCATGGGGCAGGGTGTATTGCAAAAAAAAAAAAAAAAAAAAAAGCATACACACAAGGTAGCAGATCTAGATACAAATACATGGCTAGTATGAAGAAAAAGGTTTTTTTGGCTGTTAAAAGTTTTTTGGATTTTTTTCTTCTTTTTAATTTTTTTACTCTAAAGAACATGATAGTATAAGAAACAAGAAAAAGGGATACATTCAGGCCAGGTTTCAATTATCTACACCATTCCTATATACAAAAGAAAAAAAAAAAATTCTTCTCAGTTATACATACAACACACAAAAGGAAAAAAAAAAAAAAAAAAAAAAAAAGAAAAAAAGAAAAAACTTACTTGAAAGCCTGGTATACATAGAACCAGTCACAGACGGAGTTGAGGGTAAATTCAACCACATCAATTTGATGATAGATAGGCTGCCCAGAGTTGAGCATGGCGAGGAGGTGTCGTAAGCGATCGACGAGGTCGGTAAACACAGACTCAAACATTCGGCGCGGAAGAGATGGCGGATTGGCTGGAGGAATCACTGGCAGAGTGTGGACGGGGAAGAATCGGAAAGGGTTGTATCGAAGTCGAGGATCGAGAATCACATCGACATCGAGGTCGCGGATTTCGTTGAGTGGGAAGTTGCGAGGGCTGAGAGGAATTGGGGGAGCTAGTGACGGGGACGGAGTGCGGAAAACGGTCGCAGCAACGACTAAGATACAATTCATCAGCTTTGTTTCAAGCGGAGACACAAGACATGAGGCTTACTGGGAATATCAGACATCTCCGAGTCAGCATCGGCGTCGGTATCGGTGGTGTATCCAGAACCATCGACTGAAGGGTCGTAGTCAAAGATCTCTTGCTCAAGCGCTCGGAGCTCATCATCTGTGGCGACATGGCTGGGAGGAGGCGCTGCAGGTGCTTCATCCACTAGTAAAACGATAAACAAAACGATAATCAATGCTTGAGCTACAGCCCCTAACGATTAGAAGGGAGACAACTCACCCGAGACGTCACTAGCAGAAGAATCAGTGTCGGTATCGGATTCCTCCGAGGAGGCCATGAAGATGACATGATAGGAGTATGGGTCAGCTTGATCAGGAGGGGAACGGCCATCAGCCGAGGAGCCGTCCGCTGTGGCGTCGTCATCAGACATCTCATCTGTAAACTCGCCTTCCGACAGAGTGGACTCGGTATCAGACGAGATCAACACGATCTCCTGACCATTAGAATATGGGGCAAGGGGAGATGAGTTATCAGCCATAGTGCTTGTACTAGAGCTCAGATTGTCAGGTTGGGAGGATGAGTGAAAACGACTTACGGTGGAGGATGGTCGTCCTTTTATAGACGAGGAAACGGAGGGGACGAGGACCGAGTAGGCAGAGCAGTAAAACAGGTAGCAAGCAACCGGCCAAAGAACACTACAAAGGGATGCAAAGCCGATGTTGGAGCGTTGGAACGGTACCGGAACCGTTAAACAAAGAATCGAATAAGTGATGCAAAAACGGCGTGTATCGGGTGGGAACGTCGGGCGAAAAGAGGTGGCAGAAAACAGATAAGAAAGGGAACGGAGGCGCGATGCCTGGAAACAAGCCGCAGGCTGACAGGGTGGAGGAAAAGGCTGCCTAATAAGAACCGGCAGAGTCGGTTGGAACGGTATGTCGAGAGCTGCAGAACAAAGGGGTCGTCGGCGGACCGGCGGAAGTGGGAAAGGCGGCCAGGGAAACGGTCGAGTGGAGGGGGAATCGAGAGAGTTCATACCGCATACGAGGCCTGACCGGCACGAGTGGAGGATCGATCGCTTGCAGGGCCGTTGGAGAGAGTCGAGGTACGGTTGCGGCGGTGTTTAGGAGATGTTGAGGTGCTTGATATCTCCGGCATCGGGCGGAGAAAGGGTTCGAGTGGTGGAGGCTTGGAGGTTCACGGGTCAAGTGACATCCTCGGCGAATTCTGAGCGCGGCGCGCGAGGGCCAAAACTGGGTCTTCAATTCAACTTGGGGGGGGCACAGGAAACACATCCTGAGGTTACCAATATGTCACAAGTTGGTCCAGTAAGACCAAAAACTGCAGTTCAAGCTCATCAACCATCACCACATACATCCTAAAACTTGCAAATCATAAATATAAAACTCAAGAGACAAACAGAAAAAAAAAAAAAAAAAAAAAAAAAAAAAAAAGAAAAAAAAAAGAAAACAAAATGGAGGAATTTGCAGCTCATGCAGCAAAGTACAAGACAGTAGACAAGAAAATTAGGCCAATCAATCAACCAATGCCACAAGATATTAATCCCCCTCTCCAAAGACCCCCACTAACAAGAGATCCATATGAGACACCATTAACACCTCATCCTCCAGATTTCTTGCCAACCCAAAGGATTACACAGGAAAGGCTAAAAGCAGTAAACTTTGGCCCACCTAATTGGCTTTCAACGGAAGAATTGAAGCTACTTAACTATGTCATTGTTCTGCGGGAAAAATCCATTGCCTTCTGCGAGGAAGAACGTGGAATACTCAAGCATAGCTATGGGGAACCATACCAAATACCGGTGGTGGCGCACGAGCCATGGCAAAAGAGGCCAATCCCTATACCAAAGCCCATATTACCGGAATTCGTGGACTTAGTAAGAAAAAGGATAAAGACTGGGTTGTACGAACAATCAACATCTAGCTACTCAAGTCCGGTTTTTTGTGTTACAAAATTAAATGGAAAATTAAGGATAGTCCATGACTTGCAACCACTAAACAAAGTAACTATAAAAGACGCGGGGTTACCACCTAAAATAGAAGAATTTGTGGAGTCTTTCTCTGGGCGCGCATGCTACGGATTGGGAGATATCATGGGGGGGTATGACGAACGCGAACTGGCACCAACTTCAAGGCCATTAACTACTTTTGAGACAGTCTTGGGACGGCTTCAGTTGACTCGGCTCCCGCAAGGCGCAACAAATTCTGTCGCAGTGTATCAAGCCCAGATGACATGGATTCTGCAGGAAGAAATACCAGAACATGTAGGAATTTTTATAGACGATGGAGGAATAAAAGGACCCCGATCTACTTATAACAACGAACCACTCAAGGAGAACCCCAGGATTAGAAGATTTGTGTGGGAATATGCCATAACCCTGGAGCGGGTCTTATTTCGCATAGAAGAAGCGGGACTCACAATATCAGGAGAGAAGTTTGCTTGCTGCGTACCAGCATTGGATATTGTAGGACATGTCGTATCCAAAGAAGGTCGATTAGTGGCAAAGAAAAAGATAAATAAGATCCAAAGCTGGCCTACGCCATTGAATAAGAAAGACGTTAGGAGCTTTCTAGGGATATGTGTATACGTTAGGATGTTCATCCAGAATTTTTCAGCTCTTGCCTCACCACTTAGGCGACTAACTCACCTAGACACGGACTTTAATTGGAGTGAAAGTTGTGAAGAAGCCTTTAACAAACTAAAGAAAATAATTGGGGAAGAAATAGTCCTACAAAAGCTGGACTATGAGAAGGGAGCAGGAAAAATATCATTGGCGGTGGATTCCAGCTACATTGCGGCAGGGGCAGTTCTCATACAGCAAGATAAAGAAGGAAAAGACAGGCCAGTTCTTTACGAATCCGTGGGCTTCTCAAAAACCGAATCCGACTACGCTCAATCCAAGTTGGAATTATGTGGAGTCACAAAAATATTGAAGAAATTACAAACTATTCTTTGGGGGCAGCATTTTGAACTTCAAGTAGACGCGAAAGCCCTAATAGAAATGATCAACACACCTAGTCTTCCATGTGCTCCAATGACAAGATGGGTAGCTTTTATCCAGCTGTTCTCATTTGACTTGGTACACAAACCAGGAAAGACATTTACCATGCCGGATAGTTTATCACGAAGACCATTGGATAAAGGAGAAGAAGGAAAGGATTTTAATGAAGACGAAGAATGGATAAGGCCGCACCCCGGACTTGGAGTGAAACCTCTCTCCGTATCAATGATTAAAATCACGGATCTGGACAACTCACAGTGCGGAATATGGAAGGGAATAGAAATATATCTGAGGGAACTAAAGCGACCACCAGGGTGTTCAGACCAGGATTACCAGAAAATCAAGAGACGGGCACACAACTACTTTTTGGAGGACAATCAGCTGAAAAAGAGAGCTCTACCGTTTGCACAGACAGTTGTGTCGTTGTACAAAAATCAAGAAAGAGTTATGAAAGCTTTACACGAGGAACTTGGACACCGGGGAATGGCGGAAACTTATAGGAGGATCAAGATCAGATTTTGGTGGGAAGGGATGAAAAAGGCGGTCAGGAAATGGGTACAATCATGTGAAGCATGCCAAAAGAGAAGTAAAAACTTGCCAAAAGAAGTAGGTCAAGCAACATCGACTTCAACCTTGTTTGAAAGAGTCAGCATGGACGCAGTACACGTAAAAGCGGGAAGATGGAAGTATATTATAGTGGCAAGGGATGACTTTTCTGGCTGGGCGGAAACAACCACCCTAACAAATTTGAAATCAAAGTCAGTCGCAGACTGGTTTGTATCAGAATGGATTTGTCGTTACGGAATACCAAAAGAAGTCACGGTGGACGGAGGCGCAGAATTTAAGAAGGAATTACAGAATGCGATGAAGAAAATTGGAACTAAACTTAGAACAGTAACACCATACTACCCGGAGGCACAAGGAATGGTGGAAAGGGGTCACAAAAGCATCAAAGACGCACTCATAAAAATTTGCGGGGAGAGCGGTACAAAATGGAAGGAGTATTTACCTTTGGTCACCTTAGCCGACCGCATATCAACAAAAAGAACAACTGGATTTACACCATTCGAGCTTCAATTTGGACAGCCTGCAGTACTTCCAGTGGATATAGAGCTCAAAAGCTATCTGTCAGTGGAGTGGGGGGAAGTCAGAACCACGGCGGATCTACTGCAAGCACGGGCAGAGCAATTAGCTAGAAAGGAGGAGAATAGAATTAGGGCATCCGAAAAACTACGTGAGGCACAAAAACAATCAGTAAAATATTGGGACCGGAAACTGGCCCATAGGATGAGGAAGCCATTAAAGGCAGGAGACTTAGTGCTTGTGTATAATAAATCTTTGGAAAATCAATGGGGTTTGCTTTTTAAAAATAGGTGGAATGGACCATACAGAGTCATTGACCAAATTAATAATGGACCCTATGAGCTGGAGGAATTGGACGGAACAAAACTCAGCCGACGATACGCCAGCAAACCATATTAAGCGATTTTATCTTAGGGCAGAAAAACTTACAG